GGAATTAATAATAACAAATACATAGCCAAACATATCTATATGCATTTACATATATATTTATATATATATATACATGTATATGTGATTACGTACATGACATATATGTGTAAGGAATGTATTGAGAGGAGATGAAAGTAGAAAAGAATCGTAAATTTTGTTGACATTTTCTGTAATGATTAGACAATATGCATGCACGCACACATGTACATATACACAAGTAAATATGCCTATAGATTGCATGTTGGCATACTTACATAATGTGCACAGATGCTTATATAAGCACATACCACACATATATATATGTATATATATATATATATGTCTATATAAATCAGAATGTATTTGCTTATGAATAAACGTTCGCTTGTATGTTACGTAATGCATACATATACATACATATATATATATATATATATATATATATATATAATATATAAATATATACATTACAATATATACGTACGTACTCACATATGTAGTATAGAAAAGAAATTTTTAAAATTTATTCTTTTCAAAGAGCACAGATACTTGGAATACCAAATTATGCATATAACTACAAACACGTATATATAAATTTATATAGACATACTTTATTTAATGTTCTTATACATAGCAAATTAGTTGGGTGTCGGTATGTAACATAACAATGTGTGCATCCTTTGCATATTGCCATCAAAGACATAAGACTTTCTTTATACAGTGTTTTATAAAAGTTTTTACGGCTACGTACGTGCATTGGTGGTATTGTTGTGGTTGGTTGGCTGGTTGTTAGTTAGTGTGCGTGATTCTGAATATATGTGCGTGATAAGTGTGTGCTTGTGTGCGAAATGCCAACTAAACAATTTGAAAGTTAAACACGACCGCACGCACTTAATGTAAAAGAACCGCACTTTGCGCATAATTTCCTCGTCAACATACAAAAATAACTTATTCGCATATTTTCTATTTTAACATTAATATATACACATAAACACAAACACGCATAAACACAGAAACGCACGTACACACTCACATAACCCCTATATATATATATATAAATATATTTTAGCTCCTTCCACTTTATATATAAAATGCACGACTGCATTACGCAAATAATAAGTCTTAGTTGAAACGAACGAATATAACAGCAAAAAACAACAATAAAAACAACAACAACAACAACAACAACGACACGTAGCACGTTCAGAATTAAGTAAAACACGACAGACAAGAAAACCGACGGATGAGTAAGCGGTAGGTTGGTTGGACGAAATTTTGAAAGGGCAACAGATAAGCTAGTAGCAGGCAGCAGGCAGCAGTCAGCAGTCAGCAGTCAGCAGTCGGCAGTCAGCAGTCAGCAGGCGGTGGGAGGAAAGCGAACAGTCGGTGTTTTGCTTGTAACTAACTTCCACTTACTAATCAAACGCAAGGAAAAGCATATTTTCAACAAAACTTTTAATGGCATTTAAATGTTGAAAACTTTGCAAAAAATGTTTTATAATTTTTTCTTTTTTAGCCTCCATTGCATAGTCACATACACACAGTAACTTATACATGTATATACGTATCTTTAATTTCTCTGTAAACTTGTTCCGGGTCTTCTCTACACCTAAGACTTTCATCAGAGTCTTAAGTGTGTATGTTGTAGGTGTTATCGTTTGGTGTTTCTGAATACAATTTTAATCATAAGTACGCACAAAAAAGAAAAAGAAAGGAAAGAAAAAACATTTCTCATTTAAGTTCTTGTCAAGAAGATTTTTCTCTCTCTCTCTCTCTCTCTCACGCAGCACATATATATAGTACGAATGTGTGTAAAGAGTCCATTTTTGATATGAAATATTTTAACGAGTTATGCTTAGGATCAGAAGTTCGATAATAAGTTTCACACACAATTGATTTTGTACACTCAAGACCGATCTATAGCTTACCATAACTTTTAAAGGACCCATACACTGAGAAAAATTTTATCTCGTTCAATTGAATATTTGGAAATGGTTCATCTCTTCTTGCAGTAGTCAAAGTAATGATGAGAAATAAGCTACAAGTGCAATCAAGAAGTAACCCATCGCGTAAAGAAAATAAATGAAATTAAATTTTATTTTCCAAAATGATTTTATATCGACTTTCCAATCGTCGATACTTTTCACATAGTATGAATAGTCGCGTAGATCGCAATTACTTCCCATTCGATTTCTTGATATTTGACGTAAAACGCTTACTAAACAATCATTAAATATATTTCTAAGTAGCGCTGGAGGTCAAGTCTGGAGAATATCATAACATACTGAGTTGTATGCGCAATGTGTAATGAATGAGCTGAGGCGCTAACGAGTTGAAGAAAGTTCTTCCATTCGTTCAGCGTTCTATTCGTTACTTCTTGTTTTCGTATTTCAACCGACTCAACAACACCGAATAATATGCGCTTGTTATCGTTACGCTCTTTTAAACCTAGCTGACGTAGATGATGACTTATTCGCCACCAAAAAAGTTCGATTATAATCTCTCAAGCCTCTGCCACAACTAGCTCATGTACTTGAAATTTTGGGTCGTATGATCCAACATCCAACATGTCACGAATTTTATCAATTCTTTATGGTATTGCAACACTAACAGAACTTTTGGACTGTGCTTGGGCTCTTGCGAACTCGCTTGAGCTTAGATATCCTCCAGTTTTTGGCCACTTTGTTCAAACACTATAGTGGGTCATGGCCCATCATTAAATATCCTGCATCACTTCGCTTAATGCAGTTTTTCTGTATCAATTTTATCAAAATAAGGCGCTATATGGGAACTTGTCGGAAATGTGATCCATTTCAAACTATTTTCAAGAAAGTTTGTTCTTGGGCCAAGACAGTCGCGGTGTATGGAATTTCATCAAACTATCACAAAATTGCGATTTGTAGGTTGAACACAAGAATAGAAGACTGTCACATGGGTAGACGAACGGCAGAGACTGTTAAGTAATTGAAGAATGCATCAAAATTAGCATAGAGTATGAAAATGATCTTTAATTCCAATATAGCGTCGACCCTTTTCCACAGAAAATTCATAAATAAGAAAGACTTGTTTACTCGTTCACCAATCCACCGAATGTTGCAGAATTTAACATAAAATCATATGAACATTCATTCTATTTAAAATGTTGTTGCTTGCCGATCGCTCGCAATAATATTAAATTACTTTTCTGAAATAATCTTTCACTCTGTGCTCGGTTAAGTGGCTACATTGCCTTTTATAAACTGGTGCTTTAGATGGCTTCATATGGAATATTTAAGTATTTCGAAGAACTTGCAATATATTTAAGAATCGATTTAACTTCATTTAACTGACTAATGATACCTAGGGTTTTTAGTTCAAAATTCTAGACTGTGTTCACTTTAACAGAATGCGTACAGTGTTGTGGAACTTTCTTCAGATAAGTTTCAACGTTAAAAAAAAAATGTTTTTATTTTCCCTGAGATGCTCAGAATGATTTTCATAATTAATTTAACTCTAATTGTCGCTCCTTCCTTCTATACAAGTCGTTACAATCTTATTCGACACAAACTCTGAGCTACTGATAGATCGACCTTAAGACCGACCTTTCGAAGAAAAAAAACGAAAAATATGAATTGAGATTGACGGAAGGATTTAAAAAAAACATAGTGAAGTTTGAATTTGCGGCGGGATGGTACTATTATGCAAGAGACTACATCTTTTGTCCAAAGAAAGAAAAAAAATTTCCCATCAATCTTCAATCAATCCTATCTAACGGAGATCTGCAAAATTTCAATGCGATCAATTCATTCGTTTTTTGAGAAATCGTGATTGTCGACTTTGAAAGTAGAATTTGGATAAAAAAGAAGTTAACGTAGAACTAATTGTGCTAACAGTAGTAGTGGTAGTAGTAATGGTAATAGAAGTATTAATAATACCAATAGTAGGTAGTAGTGCGAATTTTCAAAGGCTCCTTAACCTAGAATTTCACTTCGATTGACTTGAGACTTTGGCAGAATAATCTTCAGATGTTGTGCTGTTGAACTGAACAATAAAAAAAAAAAAACTAAAAAGTCAAATAAATTTTTAAATATTTAAAATCCTCAAAGTATATTCACTTAAGCGAGAATTCTGTGAATTTAGGGAAATTACTTTATCAGGCCGAGGATATTAGATAAAGGCATTTCTTTAGTACGTTATGTAACTTAGAGGCCGCTTTTTTAATTCAATTCATTAGCATTTATTTCTCTTTTCAATTGCGTTACTATACGTGGCATAAATAAAAATGTTCACCTTTATAAATTGTGCAAAAGCCGTCGGTCGATTTTGCATATATTTTAATGTAGGAAAATTTTTGTTTAAAAAAAAAATCGACTTTAGTTAACCTCAGTAATTAAATATGAATATCTTTGCTAAAATACGAAATTTATGAGTAGTTTAGGGATCAACGCTACGATTGTCTTGACATAATAAATTTACCTTATTTTACGTTCATATAAAAGGCATATCTAAGATTAGCATGGGTATCATGAACGATATTAATTTATGCCCATTCATCGTCATTTGCTCACATAATAGAAACAAAAGATTCGAGGCGCATTGACTATAAAGGGGCAAGAAAGAAAGTGATATTCTTAAGCTTAACTTAATCAAACTCCGTATCAATGGAAAATTTATTAAAAAAACAACGAATTTCGATAAAAGCCCTTTTATTCAATATCATCGGCATAGTATAGTCAGATATTTATTTTTATCTTAAAGATTAATCGTTGCTAATAAACATAAATGGGAAAGAACTCGTGCCGGGAAGTTCGTGGTAGCCGATGGGATTGTTACTCAATGTAATTGTAGTTGTGACATTTACGTTGAAATATATATTAAAAGTTATATATATTGCAGTGTGTCTGTGTGTGTGTCTGTGTGTGTGTGTGTGTGTAAGAGCAATTTAAATTTTAATTTCTTAACTTTTTTTTTAATTTTTGTTTTTTTTTACGAGACCTCAATATCTCTGACAAAATGTTTGTATGCATTTTTTTTTATTGCAGATCATCAATTTGATGGATGGCAACAACATATAAATATAAAAGTTTATAACAAGTAATCAGAGAAAACAATTGTGTGTATGCTTGGGCTTGTGTTTTACTATAATATACGCGTTCGCATCTGCCGCAACTTCGTTGTCCATGACGAACATCAATACTCGAATATAGTTTATGTATGTTTAAATTAAAACGACAAACTTTAAATGCAACAGCTGCAACGAACAGAGCTTATATGTCAACTGCTACGGTGGTCAGAATTGTCAACGTGACTGATGCGAGTGGATGTGATAAAGGCGCAGTGAAAACATGAAATACAAGCGTAATAAAATAACGAACGAACAGTTACTAAGGAGATATCAGAATAAGAGGCAGCCGCATCAACAACAGCAGAAACAAATTTCATCAATTGCTAAAACAGAAAGCGAGTGCACGCAGCGGGATTGGCATCGTCATCGTCACCGTCGCCACCACTATCACCATCGCCATCAAGAGAAGCATCGGCCTCCTTATCAGCAGGATAATCGACAGTTAAACGAGATACAAACGATACCATTAAAGCATTTCGGAAAAGTTACTAACGTAGACGGCAACTCATTGATATCAGTGCCTAACTGTACGCTGTTGCTGTTGTGCCATTTATTCTGGCTGGTATTATTGCTCGATATGCCCGAAATGGCGCAAGCAGATTGGTTAATGGATTGCGGTGACTGTCATTGCAAATGGAATTCGGGTAAAAAGACAGCAGATTGCAAAAATTTAACATTATCATCGGTGCCCGAAAATTTAAGTAACGAAGTTCAAGTCTTAGATTTATCGTTAAATCGTATCGTTTACTTAGAAGAGAATGCTTTCCTTAGAGCCGATTTACAGAATCTGCATAAGTTATATATACGTAATAGCTCGCTGCAACAAATCGATCCGCAAAGTTTTACTCAATTAGAAATACTTATTGAACTGGATTTGTCTAGTAATTTGTTGCGTTCCCTGCAGCCGAATCAGTTTGGAAAATTAGTTAAGGTACGAGCTATAGTCCTCAATGGCAATCTGTTAGAGAATTTGGGTGATGGCATTTTTCAAAATTTAAAATATTTACACAAAATTGAATTGAAGGATAATCGCTTAATCCGCATTGGCACTCAAGTATTTGTTAATGTGCCTTTACTCTCGCAAATTTATTTGAACAACAATCGATTAAACTTTTTAAGGAAGGAGAGTTTTGAAATTCTTAAGCGTTTGACTGCTCTATCTTTAGATGGCAATCCATGGAATTGCACGTGCGAGTTGCAGGTATTTCGGGATTTTGTATTGCGTCGAAATTTGTACACTCCGCCCACTTCGTGTTTTTATCCGGCTCATTTACGTGGCATGCTATGGGTGGAAGATCAGCCGGAAGCGTTCGCTTGTCGGCCACGTATCATATTTCCGGCGAAAGGAGCTTCTATTAATACTTCAAAAGAAAATGTAACATTGGTGTGCCGAGTGCATGCTTCGCCTAACACTCATATAGCATGGGATTACAACAAACAGTTATATCGATCGAGCAGCTCAAATACGCCAAATAATCAACGTGTACATATACAAGTGATAAGAGATGAACATTCAAAGGAAAGAGAATTCGGTCGCGATGTCTACGTATCTCGTTTAACAATTCTTGGGGCTGAGAAAAGCGACGAGGGAATTTACACATGTGTTGCAGAGAATGCTGGAGGTAAAGATGCCGTTCAAATGAGTTTAGTTATCCAAAAGGCGGGCGCACGTGATATGCTACCAGACAATCTGGCAGCTGTAATTTCGTTAATGGCTTTGGGATTGCTTAGCGTGTCTGTGTTTCTTGCGATGATTACGTGCTGCATTTACAAGCGATTCATTACATCTTCGGCTGCTCATCAACATCGACACCACCATTTAGATCTAAGCGGGGCAGATCCAATGACAACGGTAGGCACAGTGGTGGCCAATCACGCCACTACAACAGTTGATGGAGGCACAGATGTTATGCTGGGTGTCGTCAATGGCGTTGACGACACGTCCAAGTACAAAAAACATCCTTTACTGCAACAGCAAACGACATTGAATGGCGGCAGTTCACTGTACGATGACAAATATACTGAACTAACAAAGCTTACGGATAGCGGAACAGGTGGATGCGGTGGCGGTGGAGGCGTTGGAAGCATTGATGGTGGC